CACCCGGGGGAGTGGGGGGGGGGGGTAAAGGATAACCAGGAAATAACAGATTAGCTGGCTCATTTGGGGAAAAAGGAAAAACAACAACAACAACCCTGACCTATTTGTTTCTAAAGATACGAGGGTTCCTTTCTGGTTTCCAGGTAGAAAGAGTTCAGAACCAGGGCAGTGTGATCAGGAAAGTGGGTGGCACCTCCATCCTGGCACAATCTCTACCCTCCATGACTGCCTTGTGACTCAGTGACAGCAAAACCCACACAACCAGGAGTTTCGTTTTTCTGCACACATCGAGGAGATAGGAAATGCCAGCAGCCTTCCTGTGCTAATGAGCAGGAGAAGCAGCATGGTGGGATGGGAGAGCGGAAACGGCCTGTGTTGAAGTTCAAGCCAAGAGGACCAGGACAAGCCTTTTAACCTCGGGGCAGTCTCAGCTTCTTTACAGATAAAACAGGGAGGGATTCAACAAGCTGATTTCCCTCCTTGACAGCCCAGATGGTACATACAATGTATTTCATCAAAACTAAGACACTGGTGATCCTCAGAGGCATCCAAACTTTAAAGATGTTAAATAAAATACGCCTCCCTTCCTAACCCGCAGAAGTATGTTTCTTAGCACTGGAAATAACCACTACCTAGCCTGAATCTTTGTGCTGAGGAAAGTAGTTAGGCCCCAAGCAGAAGGCCTTCCCTTACCCCGACCTTCACACTGGCACTGGCAAGGGTACTGGTGAGAGATGTTTTGGGGAGGCTACCCACACACCATGTTTCTAGTTCAGAAGGACCCAGATTAAGGGAGAACCAAGGACCACTGAGCTGAGGCAAAGCTTTAAAAAACAAAACAACACTAGTTAGTTAGGCTCCAGCAATCTTAGCATTTACAGGGGCCCAAGGTGGCAAGAAAAGTCAGTGATAGGTGGAACAATGGAAGGCCCTAGACATTCAGAGGGCAACACTGGGATGGAGGAGAACGCTGGGCCTTTCCTACACTATCCATCTGCTTCCTGTGTTTCTATTTCCTGTCCTGGAATAAGTGGAAGGGAAACGCTCAGCCAGGTCTGAACATGGAAAGGGCCTTGGGGTAAGGACTGGCAGCAAGCCACTCTCAATTTACTGGGCACCCAGGCTGGCTTTTTCTTTCCTGAGAAGTCAAAGGTTTAAGTAAAGGCCAGTCTGGTCACTTGGAAGAACATCACAGAGGATTTTTTACATAAGGTGGTAATAATAATGTTTTTATTAGTACCAAGTATGGCTGGGCCCCTGGGCTTGACATTTCAGATGTACCAACATTGGACATTCCAAAACAAATCCATGAGGTGGATAACACTGTTCCCATTTTATAGATGGGCAACCTGAGTCTTAAGAGGAATTAAATAACTTGACCAAGTCGGAGCTAGTCAGTGGTATAGCTGGGACTAAAACCCTAGCCTGGACTGTTTAGCATGAGCTGCAAGGCTTCATCTCACTCTATTTCAACAGTGATCCATATGACAAAGTATGTATTTTAGGTGAAGCCAAGAAGGAAAATAAATCTTTTTCTTCCTTAGGACCAGCAGGTGGCATGGTGGTTAAGGGCACTGGACTTCTACATGGCCAACTGTGGTTCAAGTCCCAGACCTGACGACTTGCTTTCTCGCTTTCCCTCTCTCTCACTCTGCCCAACTCTGTTTAAATTCAAATAAACAAAGTCATTAAAAAAAAAAAAAAAAGAAAGAACGCCTTCCTTCCTTTCTTTCTGTAGAGAGAACTGCATTTCTTCCTTAACATGTTCCCTAAACTTCCATATAAACAGAATGGCCTCCTGTGAGTGATACAGTGTCATGGTTAAGATTCTGGGCTTGTAAAATAAAATTTAAGGAAAAAAAAAATCAAAAGTCATATTAGCAAAGGAAAAAAAGAATCTGTGCTTGGCCAGGGCCAGCAAGTGGCATGCTCAAAATCCTGAGAGGAGAACAGAGAAGAAATCTCCTGGGGAGTGATTTCTCACTTTCCCGCTTTCTCTCTCTCCAGTGAGCATACAACACCCTATGGCAAAAAAACTAAAAAAAAAAAAAAAAAAAAAGTGGGCCTGGATGTCAGACAAAACGGCTCTAGTGAAGTCCCAGTTCCACGTATACTAGCTAATATGACCTTGGGCAGCTTCTTTAACCTCTGGACCTTTATCCGTACCATGGGGATGATACTTATCCTCCCCAGGATAACTGGTAAGGTGTAAATGGAATAACGAATGCATTAAAACCCACATTGTATAAGGTTGCCATTATCATTCAAAGATGAAGAATAAACAAACAAAACATATCTTCTCTCCCTGGGAAAAATGCAGGATAGATACAAAGCCAGTCAATCCTAGCAGGTCTGGTCTGGTCTGGTCTGAGCAAAACCCATTCCCCAGTCAAGCTCCCCACTGGTTAAAATCCAGGAAAATAGCAGAAATGGCAAAAGTTCTTTGGAAAGGAGTAGAGACCCAAGTCCAGTTTTACTCAGCTGTGACAGACTGTAGATCCCCACCAATGGGTACCCACAGCCTCCTCCTAAAAGAGGCAGGCTGGGGTCCCGATGGTGGTTAAGGTGCAGGACTCCTACATGGCCAACCGTGTTTTGAGTCCTGGTCCTGGCAGTTTACTTTTTCACTTCCCCTCTCTCTGTGTGTCTCTCTGGTGAGCTCATGAACCCTATAGCAAACTGAAAAAAAAAAAATAATATGGGACCAGCAGGTGGGATGGGGGTCACTCCCACATAGCTGACCACGGTTCAAGTCCTGGACCTGATGGCTTGCTTTCTCACTTTCTCTCTCACTCTGTCTCTATCTGGTCAGATTAAAATAAATGAATAAATAAAATTACATAAAATAATTCTAAAATAATAATAATAAAATTAAATAAATAATTCTTCAAAAAAATTTAAAAACAGCAGGCTGGACAGTTAACCTAAGATTGTTCCTTTTCCTCAGTACATGGAAAACACTGACACATAAGGCTTGGAATCCTAACTGATTTCCTCTGGAGCTCAGCCCCAAACACCCCTGAAGGTATCTTTCCCTTTCTGAATCATCTGTTTAAACTCAAGAGGAAGAAGCCAAAGGCCTTCAGAAACCCCAGAGGTTAACATGACTTCGCCTAACAGAAGCACTTCTAAGATGCAGCACCACGGGGGGTTCCCCAGATGAATCTTGACGCATCAAGGCCTCCCTACCCTCACTGAGCCAAAGGTCTGCTGTGCGTTCACAACATTCTGCCAATTCTTATTTCTCTTTCACTTTCTGAGAAATACAGAAAGAACACATCTCTGATGAACTAGCAAACAAAAACAGGAATCCAAGGCTGATGCCCATGGCTTGAAAGCCAAGGGTTCCTTGTACACTATGATGATTTTTAATGAAAGAAAACAAACAAAATCATGACCTTGGTACCTGGCCAAACAGGCTTCCTGACCTAGGGTCCTATTCAAGAAAAGGTCACTGGCCTTATCCCCAGGGGCAGGTTCTTACAGTAGGGAGCTGGCATTTCAGGCAACATCTAGAAGTTCTCCTTCTAATGATCTGGATATGTTTTCTGTTTACAGAGAAAGTTTAAAAAGCACCTCCTACCAAGCCAGGTGTCTAGACTACGCGGCACGTGGAAAACAAGTTTCTAAAAAGCACCAGAACAGACAATGAAGAGGAGGGGGTTCTGAGCCTGATGCTGCCACTAACCAACTATGGGACTCTGAGAATCAATCGCCTCGCTAACCCTGGGACAGTTACTCTTCCCCAGGGTACAATGGGAAGGTGGGGTTTAACCTCTGGTTTCTACCCAATCTGAATTCTCACCTGCCTTTCCCTCATCTTCATGTATCACAACAGGCAATCCCCTGACCAGAACTTTGCAATTTGTTTTCTCTTGATGACTTATCGCAAAGCACCACCTTTGGAATGGGAGAAAAAATGTCCGCATACAACTACAGAAACAGGAAGTCCTCCAGTGTCTCTTGTTCTCTGGTTTCAGATTTTATGAGTATAAGCACCAGAAACATTTAGAGGCGCCTTCTAAGCCACTCAAAGACTAGTTTCTGGTTTCTCTACAACACCCACCCACCCTCTGTACACCCCTGCCTTGTTTCAGTTAAAAATACCAACAGGACACACCTTGACAAGTACTAGTTGGTTTGCAGAAAGTATAGCATGAACAATGACAAAGGACAATACAGGAAGCCTGAGAGTCCACTCTGAAACGTCTTCAGGGAAACCTCATCCAATATTTCGAGGCTTCTCTGAACCTCCCGAACCAGCTAATAATAATGTATCTTTCACTTCCCCTTTTCTCCGTAAGCTGTCAAGCATCCTGTGGCTCGTTTGCTCTTGTCAGCTCATTTGCTGGAAGGACGCCCATTCACTCTTGGATGGAAACTCAAGTTGGCAAGCAACAGAGGCTCGCTAAAGCTAGAGGATTCTGCCAACACCCCGATCTACAAAAGAACTAACCACCACTGCTGAGCATGAAAGGAAGAGTCAGGAATGGAGACAGGAGGGCTGGGGCATCGCTCAAGATCCCTTGTCTACAGCACGAACCTGGTCGTAAGCTGGCCGGTAGCTGATGTTTAGCACTGGTTTCCCACACTGGCTGATGAGGGCTCTCTCGCTTTCAATCTTGTCTTGTGAAACGGGTTTTACATCCACACAACACTCCGGATACTCCGAGTAGAAGGTCTCATATCCCCCTTTAAAGACAAACCAAAAGGGAGAGAGATATAAGCACTGATTTCGCAGGCTGTCAGAAAAGACCCAATGATTAATCAATATTTTGTGGAATGAAAAATGAAGGTAATAAAGAGTCTGGTTATATAAAAAGTAGAGAAGGGCCCGGACTGTGGTGCAGCAGTCAAACACAGCATGCTGCCAAGTGGACCCCTAGTGGGAGGGTACTAGTTTCCATATGGAGAGATCCCTGAGCCTGCTGGGCATGTATGGGCCCAGGATCCAGGCTGTCTGAGGGGAGATCGCGCAGCATCAGGTCCCTGCCAGAGGCGCTGTATCTGTGTGTCTCTCCTTCTCTGTCTCACTCATCAAAGGAATAAATAAGCTTTTAAAAGAACCGCACAAAACCAACGGTTTTAGAATAGAAATGGGACACACGCACACACTCTTACCCTTTGAAAACTATAGTTCAGGCAACAATGAACTTGTTTTGGTCTACCAGAAGCAGTTGAAACTGTGAAAGGAAATATCTGGCATCTGGCAAATACTAACCAAATCTCTCCAGAGAACAAAAGCTATCTTTCTCTCTTGTTTATCTGCAATGAAGGTGTGATTATGCAAAATTTCATTAATCTCTAAGAAGATGTCTAAAATGGTTTCTTCCCCAGCCCATCTGCTCCAAGCAGAATGATATGAAATAGATAGAATCCTCCATTCATAAGGGGGTGGGGGCTAATTTAAGGTTTCAACTCGGGGCAGTAGAAGAGCCTTTCTGCCCCACTCCCAAGGTGCTAAATAAGAACGCTGTTGACAGTTCTTTCTATAGATCCAATGTGGAGTCATCAATCTAGTTAATTACCTTCCAAACAAAACTGGAGGGATGGTGACATCAGAACTTAATTCTCAGCCCCCATAAGCAAAACACGGCTCTGTCCCCTCAATGATCATCTATCCATTCCACTTTATTATCATCTTCCACATCCCCAAGTCAACTACCGGCACGTGTGACTGTGAAAAATCCTTAACATTACATTTCCACTTTTCCAACGGGAGCACTTAAGGTAAAAACTACTCTGTGATCAAAGTCACAGAAACCACATAGGCACATAGGACTTCTCAGGCCCAATACCCGTTTTGAACCAAATAAAAAAACCTCGTCTGGAACCCTCAAAATGCCAAGGGCTTTGGGTAAACAGGACAGTCTTGTTTAGGGACTGTCCTTCTGTTTCCATTCCAGAGCAACCTGAGGGACTTTGCAAAACCACCAGAAAACCTACTTCTGGGCTTTCTCTGATCAGAGCAGGAGAGAACATAGCTGGTGTCAAATCATCGATTAAGTATGCACTGAGATCCTCGTCTCTCCCAAAAAGCTCTGCTCTTTTCTTCTGTCTTCTGGTGGTGTGATAGCCCCTCCCTCCATGGAGCACAGACTGGCTTTTTCAAACCCCTGCAGTACACGAATGGTTAATGGATTACATGGCAGTCTGCTCCCTCCCAGAAGCTGCAGCCAATTCCTAGAATGAGTCATCTTGCCATCACTGCTTCCCCTCCACTGGCTAGAACTGCCCCGCCCCCAGCTCAGTCTCCCCCGTGGTCACTTCGATAAATGGCCCAGGATGTGTTTCTGATACTCCCCAATGACCACGTCCCTTTATGATGCAGGGGGATAAAGAGAAGCTTGGTGGAGGCTTTGGTGGCTTTGCCCTCCCCCCCCC